AAATACCGGTTATCTTGATGTGTTTCCCCTTTTCCTCAGCTGCACTTCCTTCATCACATTCACCTTCATCACTGTCACTGCCTGTTTTGCTGCTCGTTTCTCCTCTTGCTTTGTTGCCCTCGCCAATTAACAGTGGCTCAGAGTCGAAATCCAAATCATCGTCTGCATCGTCCTCCATTTTCATTTGATCTGAACTGATGCCATGGCTGCCAGCGATTGTCGTATTCGCCAAAGTCTCATTCACAGGCAAAGCATCGATACCACTGCCATTCGAAACCACCTTAAACAATTTTAAAGGTTTCCAAAAGGAAAGCGTTCGAAATTTTCATTGTTATTCAAAACTCACTGGACCCTTTGTAGAAGAGGATTTATGAATTTAAAAAATAGATGATGCATTTGAGGACAAATCGAATATCTTTAAACCCTGATCCAGTCGCTTTGCCTTTGACTACGACTGAACACAAGGGATAACAAGCCCATTAATTATTCGAATAACCATAGGACAAACAAATGGTACTTATGTCGGGTCACAGTTTTGTATGCTACTCAAGCATCCTTTTGTTTGGATTATAAAAAGACTTGCAATTACAGAGTCATCGGGATTGTCCACATTCTCGAATTCATTACTGACAGATAAACCAACTTGCGCCACATCATCTGCAATGATTTGATAATTCATTCAACAGCCGACGTAGATTCAGTAACCTTTATTTCGGTAAGGGCCAGAATTTGGAAAAAAGATAGTTCAACATTTGCATAGCACCGTGTGTAAATTAATCGTACAAAACTCAAGAAACTGATCATGCCGGGTCACATAAAGCACAAACTAAGGATTCTGCATTAGAGGGAGTAATAGTTACCTGAAGTGCGAGCAGTGGGAGGAATGGTACTTGCTGGGGTGATAACAGCGCACGCGAAAATAAGCGCTGCGGCAATCAACATTCTTTTTGTTCGTAGCGTTTACTAGCCACTGGCCTGTTTTTATAGCAGTGAGACGAGAAGTCATCCTTGTAGCAGCATTTCTCATGGATTAGCAACATATCGACAAAGGAATGAGTAAGGATCGCCGAAGAGTACGGGTGACAAGGAGGGAAGTGAGACTGAAAATTTTTGTGTAATCCGGAATGTAACATTCGAGATGATAAATTTTAGGCTTATGTAAATGAACAGCAGCACATACCACGATTTTAGTTGTAACGGATTAG